AATCCGGAGAATAGTGAAATGGTGTGAATATTGTGGTTTATACACGATAATTTGGTGATGTTTCTTTTAATTGGTGAAATATAGAGGTCTGCAGCATGATCTAAGTGTTTTAATTATGGAATTCAAAGAAGATGAAGACAGGCCATCGTTACCCTTTTGGGACGTAGCTCGTCTGTCAGAGGAGGGATTTAGAGTTGCTGGGGAAGCATTATATCCACCTAGCTTAGGACTTGCTCCTCTGGTGTCGCCGAGGCATAGGCACCGTATAAGTGAAGTTTTGGCTCCCGGACATAGCATAGTAATAGTTTTCAGAGCTTGAAGAATTCGATGCAGAAGGCCTGGAGATGGGTTGGTAACTCAAGGGATAAGAGGCACCAGCCAAGCTTCAACCCTGAGGTCTTGGCAAATAAAAAACACCAATGGTATCAGCTGCACTCCAAAACCACGGTATTTAAAATCCAACGCCTTTTTCAGCAGTTTTCTTGCAGTTGGTTGGTGCACTATCAAGGTTATCATTTAATTTTATTTTATTTTTTGTTTGTTTACAGAAATTTTCTATATGGTGGTGATGTCTTGTGGTGTAGAATATTTGTGTTATTATGATGACCTGTAAAGCCACACATGTCTAGGGGAGATATTAATTGCTAACTCCTTTTGTTCTTTTCTTTTTGTTGCATTTTTTTTGCATGTAAAGTCTCATATTTTGAATGAAAGTTCAATTATTTTTCTATCTCTACTAAATTTGTTTTGTGCACTAGGTTCACTGTTATGCAATTGGAACGGTGGGTGGTGAAATACATTTTAAATGATGCTTCTCTAGAAATATAGCTTACATGTGCCCCTTTAGCTTGGAAGTTCAAGGATTCCTTGCAAACTAAAAAATTATTTTTAATACTTGAGAATTTTGTAGATCTCTACTCTTCTTTCAGTAGATTTCTCCTTGATTTAGGAAGTCAATTAGTTTTTTCATCCTGGCAAATCTATATTACTGATAAAGAATATTTTAGACGTTTTGATAAAAAAACATTTTCTTTTTACTTTGATTTTTTACTTCGGCCATCTCTTGTGACTTTGATGATATGCCCTTAGAACAAGTAATCTCATAAAAAAGCCTTCAAGTCTTTTTTTGTTGTTTACTTTCTTTTTGTTTGATTAACATGTAAGCCCATGGACGAGAGGTGGTTTTGGTGCAGGGGGTGTTAATAATCTGTTTAAGTGGGATTTCTAACTTGTTTTTATCTTATTCTTTAAGCCAAAAAAGAAATAAAACAAAAAGATTCTCTCTTTTAATCTTCTAACCTAGCTTCTCATGGTTTCCTTTCTCATGATTCATCTACCCGGACTTTAATTGCCAATGAGGAGGAGTTTAAAGTGCCATTTTAATGCAAGAAAAAGGCTAGAAAAGAGTTCTTGGTATCTTAAAATTTGATACTCTAGAGGCTAACCTGAATATGAAATAAAACTAAATTAAATGAATAAAACCATGGTTCTTTATAGGATGCAGTGTTGCTAGCATCAGATGATGTCGATAAGTTTCCATTGACAGTCTGAGAAAAACTAAAGGATTGGTAGGAATATAAGTCATCTTTTTCTTTGATTTCTTTGTTTTAATATCATCCATTTTGCACTTTCTCTTGGTTGGTTCCTTCCCAGATCATAGTAATGTATACTGCATGTTTTAATCTCCTTTACCTAGTACTAATCATTAGGAGATTGATTTTATATCCTAGTGAGTAGAAGATAATCTAATTGCTCATTATCTAGGACTTCCACTCTGTGCATGCCATTTGTACAACACTTCTGGCTGAAATGTAGGTGTTCTGGGTCAAGACCGACCTTGTGGATACATTTCTTTGCTGATAATGAAAATCTTAATATTGTTTGCCTTGGTGTTTGGTAAAGGATTAGATTGCAAAATCATCTACTGAATATAAAGCTAAGATTTTATCAGATTTTTATTTTTTATGTTCTATCACTCAGTAGGAGAGTTTCACATTGCGCATTCAGGTTGTCTGCGATTTAAAAATTTTCTATTTATCTTTTCAATTTAATATTTTGCCAGAACATCTTCATACCATGCAAAGTTGCCCAATGTTTCTTCTTTCTTTCATCTCTCTGATGTAAGCCGGGTTTCTCTCTTTTTCTCATGTTGATATAGATGGGTAGAACACTAACATCCGGTTGCCTAAATATTGATTTTCTCTTTTGGTTCTTTAAACTTGTTATCTTGATAGGTAGAATCAAATTCCATTTATTTTGAATTCAAAAGGCATAATGAACATGATTGTGGGGGACTAGTGCTGCTAATTCTTTGTATGATGCCATTTTTGTAAAGTTCTCTGGGACATTAAAGATTTGACCCTGTATTTGTCTTAATTTAATGATGTGTTTAAGTTCATAATCTGCTTTCTATTTTATATTATATGTTCTATATCTATAGTGTACACGGTGTTGTTAATTCTTTTCTAAAGTTGGTAAATACTTCTTCTTTTAGTTATACCTTTCCTATTTTAGTCTCTCAAAAATAAAGATCCATCTGTTTTTTGGTTATAATTTGAGGATGCTATTGCAGGACCAAATAAAATACAAGGAGCCCACACATCAATCTTTGGACACTTCATTGTTGCAGGGCTTCATCCAGATGCTAATCTTGAGGCTGTAGAAGAAGCATTTGTTAAAAGGAAGAAATGGGAGCTGATGGCAAAATCTGAAATGGTAGACTTTAGAACGCTTCACAACTGAGGACCTGTACCTCCTACCTTTGAACTGCAGGTTTGCTATGGGATTGATTTTTTCATAAACTCCTATTTTGAATGATAGTTGATCTTGCTCGTACAATGATATTGCTGAAATTTTCCTCTTTTTTTTTTGGCTGTCTGGTGAAATTTTCCTTGAGTTCGCATCATACTCGTAAATTTCATTTTCTGCATCTCCTGCATATATCTGTTTACTCTCCAGTCTTTTTCATTGCAAACAAAGGCAATTTTTATTTATATATCAAAATTTTTAGTATATTTTCGTATCTTTTAGTGTTTTTGTTGCATCCATTGAAAGGACTTTGTTTGCTTCACCTGCACTGTGATCAATTTTTCTTTCATCAATAGATGATCAATTTAGTGTACGCATCTTGATTAATTGTTTTCTCCAATTTTAGTTATCCATCTTGATTGATTGTTTTCTCCAATCCTCTTTTCATATGATTTACAAATAATTTTTAAATATCCTCCTGGGAAGAAGTTGGCTATGCGTCTTAAGGCCTTTGGTTCTTTCTGTTTTCTGGCTGGTGTTAAGGTTTGATCTCTCTGATCCTTCTAATACTGTTGGCTTCTAGGGATTGTAAATTGGACCTTATTGTGCTCATTGTTGGTTTGTCTCTATGTGTGTGAGCGTGCGTGCACATGTGTTCATTTAACCTCATTTATCATCAAAATGATCATCCCAAGACAAAAATTTGCCACTTTGGCACATTAGCATATTATACACTCTACATATTTGGATTTTCAACATGAAGATATATTTCAAGTATATCTCTAAGAAGATGCTCCCTTATTATACAATAATTTTTGAAGAGGTTATATGATATTTTACAGTATTTCAATATATATATTTTTTACGTTATATGATATTTATTCAAATTTGACTGGAAAATGTTTGTTATATGTTGTTATTATATAGGCACGGTTGCCAGAGAGAACTCCATCTTTCAGTGATCTAAATGCACTTCTTTATGGACAAGTATGCCTAATTAATGTCTCTTCTTTGAGTATGACAACTGATTCCAGCATTTGACCATCACATATCTTTAATATGTGTGTATGTGTTATACTCTTTGATTGATTAAGCCTGGTTTCATTTTGCCTTTAATGAGTTTGGGCTTATCTGCTTATTTCCATTTGGATTTAGGTTGGATTTTTCTAAGTGA